CCTTGATGTGGACCATAAAAAAGGGAAAAGTAACCTCTGGGGGACTACTAGCACCTATTTGTATTCCTTAAAAGTGAAATGATGGCAAACATCTTTCGGGACTGACCTGAAATGAAGAAAATACTCATTGCTGATCACTTGAATATTGGGCATAATTCATGTTCCAACTGGAATACATGGTGTGAAGTAGAAGTGACGATTTGATGTGGGATCGGTAAATATGTATCCTACTTTTTTTAGGGTATGATGTGATTGCTCAAGCTCAGTCAGGTACTGGCAAGACAGCCACATTTGCTATTTCCATCCTGCAACAGTTGGAGATTGAGTTCAAGGAGACCCAAGCACTAGTATTGGCCCCCACCAGAGAACTGGCTCAACAGGTATTGATAGTGTAGTTCAAAAAAACTGCTTGCGTGTTGCATAGGTTTCAGGTTTCACAACTGTCAAGAATTTAAAACAGCTTAAATTGGTCCTTTCAGAGCCCTCCTTTTTAAATTGTCCATGCATGCAGGGAGTTTTTGTTCAAAGTTAAGCAGGAAATGTGTGTGTAGGTATGTTTTACTAGGGTTGTATACCAAAAGATTGTGAATCCAAAGCTTTCTGTTTAGGGTGAACTAGATTTGTACCTGTTTTTTAGTTTGAATGCAGTTGTGCAACATGAAAACTGCAGTGACATGTTACCATTTGACTGTCTCAGTAGTTTGTGATGCATCTGTTGCATGCTATGTTTTCAAAGCTCACTGCTGTATTGGCTTTGAAGTAAACCTTTCTAATAAAGCTGCAGGCTTTATTAAGGTTAAGGCACCATACCCTGTGGGAGAAATCAATATTTGCCCAAGCTGTAATTACATTCATTACTTGATTCACTGTTTACACCTTACACAGTGAAGAATAATGTAGGAAATGTTACTTAATTACTTGATATCTGGGTCAGCAGGATCCAACTTATGACAGGGCACAAGACAGAAAAGAATTGTATCTTGAAGTAGTTAGGTCAATCTGCATTTTAAGCTTGGAAGTAGTTCTGTGCTATGCATGCATACAAGCTGTTGACAGACCAAAAACTTGCCATTATGCTTTGGAAGTTAGTCACGGTATATACTTTTACAGGACAATAATTAATTTTTAAAATTTTTTTAGATCCAAAAGGTGATTCTGGCACTTGGAGACTATATGGGAGCAACTTGTCATGCCTGCATTGGTGGAACAAATGTTCGAAATGAAATGCAAAAACTGCAGGCTGAAGCACCACATATTGTTGTTGGCACACCAGGGAGAGTGTTTGATATGTTAAACAGAAGATATCTTTGTAAGTATTATCTTAATATGGTTTATTTTTACTATTAGACTCAAATTCATTAATGGAGAGATGATACAATATGACTTTGTTATTAACAGCTCCAAAATGGATCAAAATGTTTGTTTTGGATGAAGCAGATGAAATGTTGAGCCGAGGGTTTAAGGATCAAATCTATGAGATTTTCCAAAAATTAAATACAAGTATTCAGGTAAGCTTTATTTCACTCTTCAGAGGTTTTGTTTAAGGCAGGTACAGTTACAATATAACTGAAGTGTTTTATTGTCGTTCCCCCTGCTTAAAGCATTTGATACATTACTATCTCTGTCTAGTTCATTCCATGATAAGACAAGAGACGCTTGGTGTCAAACATTATTCTGTTTTTTTTGTTGTTCTTTTTGTGCTATCTATTTCCGTGACAACATTTTTTTCCCTCTCTAAGGTTGTGTTGCTTTCTGCCACAATGCCAACAGATGTGTTGGAAGTGACCAAAAAATTTATGAGAGATCCAATTCGAATTCTGGTGAAGAAGGAAGAATTGACCCTTGAAGGAATCAAACAGTTTTACATTAATGTTGAAAGAGAGGTAATTTTGTCTATTGTTACGAGAGATTTTTACCTTCTTGTATAAGCACTGTGCTAAAATTGCAGAAGCTAGGATCATATCTTGGTTTTTGCAATAATGCTAGCAGAGTACACACAAGAAGAAAATTAACTGCACTGGATCCTAAAAAGACTGGGGTGGACCTCTTTCTTAATGTCCAGTGTCCTTTGTCTTAAGATTTGGTGCAACATATATTACACAGACTTATGGAAAGAATTTCTAACGAACAGTAGAAATCTAAGTTTGTTTTTTTCTTTGAAATGCTTTAGGAGTGGAAGTTGGACACACTTTGTGACTTGTACGAGACACTGACCATTACGCAGGCTGTGATTTTTCTCAATACAAGGCGCAAAGTGGACTGGCTCACTGAAAAAATGCATGCCAGGGACTTCACAGTTTCTGCTCTGGTAAGAAATGTTCTTAGTAATCTAAACATTGAATATTCATTTTTAAGCAGGATTCAGACTACAATATAGCTGTTAAGTGCTGTGTTGTCGTTCCCCCTGCTCAAAATAAAGTTGTTTCTTACCTATACCTGTCTGCTATACCCCTATAGCAGCCAGGGACGCTTGGTCTCATACATGTTCATAAAATTAAATGTTGACCTGACTGGTGATTCTTGAATTAAGGTTTTTTTCATTTGCAGCATGGTGACATGGACCAGAAAGAGAGAGATGTTATCATGAGGGAATTCCGATCAGGGTCAAGCCGAGTTCTGATCACTACTGACTTGTTGGTAAGTATATATGTACTTTGCTGTTTTTTAAGTAATATACCAAGAGTTAATATATTTGGGAAGGTTTTTTTAATAGCCTTTACCAGATTGGGCTGTTTGGGAGAAAAATAAAAGACCACGCTCCACAGTGGGCTATACCGCTTTGTATAGTTCATTACTATTTTGTGGCCTACATTATATAGGCATCTCCCAGTGTTTTTGAATAGGACTCTGAAATATACACTGTTTTATTTCAGGCTCGTGGGATTGATGTGCAACAAGTGTCTTTGGTTATAAACTATGATCTACCTACCAATCGTGAAAACTATATTCACAGGTGAGAACATCTTGACTTTGTATATTTGAAATAAATTCATATTTCTTTTTTTATATGAAAGGCACTGTCATCAGGGAATAGTCAGTAAAGATAGTAACAGATGTAATTTACATTGTACTTGGGAAGATTGGTCAGAACAAAGTGGGAAAACTTGTACTCTTTGGCCCAGTTTGTGCACATACAATACTGAACAGGTTGCTTTAGATCTGTTGGTTGTCTTAGCGTATGTTTGAGCTTTATTTTTAGTGATGCTCTTTGTCCATGTGCTTTTTCTTGGTGATTCTATAATTGGGATTTTTCTTGGTGTCGCCTGGTAGCAATTTGAGTGATCCCTGGTTTAGTTATAGTGGCTTTATCCCTAAATAAATTGAATTGTACTTTGTTATATGATGTAAAAAAAGACTTTTTAAAAAATACAGGAGTCGATAGCAGCAGTTGATGACGAGATGGCGCTCAGAAACGGCGTTGACGTAATTTAGGACGTGGAATCATAAGCGAAACAGCACACTGTTTGAATAAAGAGCGAGTCGGTATTTATATTTGTTTTTCTTTTGTCATGATTATTTGATATTTTAAGTTGCTCCAGCCAAGGCATTTTGTATGCTAGCATTTGTTAGGGAGCATTAGGTGGTTGTATTGTCTGGTTTCTATAGGAAGGTAGAGAGCTGTTTTCGAGGTAAACACGTTTGAGTAATTTTGAGTATAACGTGTGAAACTGAGCAAAAAAAAGCAGTGATAAGTTTGGGTTACCATACCAAAATTAGTTTTCCCACTGGAAAAAAAGTTGTGAGTTTTAGAAAATAGTTAACCTTGCAGCATTTGTATTTACAGTTTACAGTTCCAGAAGTGCGTCGAAATGGATTACATAACTGTTCTCTTTGTTTTATTCCTGGTGTTTACATCTGTCCCAGGCTGACAACTGCTCTTGGCTGGCCCACTTTGGTATGGGCTTTAATTTCACTACCCCAAACACAATACTTGTCATCTGCTTTATAATAATGCTCAAGACGCCTGATAAAATCTCATTTTGCAGCCAGACAAGCCTTGAATCCTTTTGGCACTAACTGCAAAGGAAGATTTTTTTCTCTAGATATTGATTTAGCAGCTAGTGCTCCAATTAGAAGCACGATAACCTTGATAAGTAAACAGCAGCTGATGGTTAACAAGTGGATCCTCATGTTCAGTAGTTCATAAAAGTATGCAAGAAGTAATTTTCTGATTGCTGGTTTCTTTCTCTTATACAGAATTGGCAGAGGGGGTCGATTTGGGAGGAAAGGTGTGGCTATAAACTTTGTTACTGAAGAAGACAAGAGGATTCTTCGTGACATTGAGACTTTCTACAATACTACAGTGGAGGAAATGCCCATGAATGTGGCTGACCTTATTTAATTCCTGGGATGAGATATATTTGAATGCAGTGCTCGCTGTTGCTGAATAGGCGATCACAACGTGCATTGTGCTTCTTTGGGAATATTTGGATCTTGTCTCAATGCTCATAACGGATCAGAAATACAGATTTTGATAGCAAAGCGACATTAGTCGTGAGCTCTTGTGAGGAAAGTCATCGGCTTTATCCTCTTTAGAGTTAGACTGTTGGGGTGGGTATAAAAGATGGGGTCTGTAAAATCTTTCTTTCTTAGAAATTTATTTCCTAGTTCTGTAGAAATGGTTGTATTAGATGTTCTCTATCATTTAATAATATACTTGTGGACTAAAAGATATAAGTGCTGTATAAAATCAGCCAATTATGTTAAACTAGCATATCTGCCTTTATTGTGTTTGTCATTAGCCTGAATAGAAAGGCCTTTAAAATTGATTTTTTTTTTTTTTTAGAAAGCATTTGAATGCATTTTGTTTGGTATTGTATTTATTCAATAAAGTATTTAATTAGTGCTAAGTGTGAACTGGACCCTGTTGCTAAGCCCCAGCAAGCAATCATATCCTAGGTAGGGTGAAACCCCCAGTAAAATTGCCATATTGCACATGTCTTAATGAAGTTTGAATGTTAAATAAATTGTATATTCACTTTAAAAAAGATGCTCTGGCCATTTTATTTTCTCTCAAAACCTTTTATTTACAAAAGTCATTTTATTCACTTTATTGACCTTAACAGTTCTGAGTTAATTGCTGCATCAGGGTTGCACACAGGCCAATCAATTGCAGGTGTTCATCAGCGCCATCTGCTAAGCATTTATCAACTTCCTACAAGAAATAATTTTTAAAAAGTTGGTAAACAACTCAGATAAATAATCTAGGGTAATCATGGTATGTACTCACCGCAAGCTTTTCTGTAATGATGGACTTCTGTTTGTCAGAAAGGTTATCATTTTCTACAACCACATCATGGAGTTGATTTATAAGTTGAGTGGCTGCATGACCCTCATCTATCAATTCCTGTGTAACAGAAAAAATTGTTACGGTAAGATCACTTAAGTTTTACCCCAAGTTTGGTAACTGGTTTTACCTTCACTACAGCTTCCAGTTTATCAAAGGAGCCACTCTGACATGCAGCAAATATTCCATCAATTGCCTCAGCTGGTATGACCTAAAAGGTATAAAAAAAAGATCATTTCAGTATAGATTTCATACTTAGAATAGTGAGGTGGCCTATGTGTGCAAAAGGAGTTATCCTCATCTTCCCAACTGATGAACTCTTGTGAAGAAGAAACTTGGAACAAGAATAGCAGTACTCTGTCTGGTCAGTGGGTGAGTGAGGGTACCCACCCTTTTCCTGATCCTTAAGGGCAAGCAGTTTTCTGAAAAATGGGAATGATGTTTTGAATGTAATCACTGAGGTGAGTTTTGATAATGATTTCGAATGTTGAAATATACCTTTTGTTTAAAGTTTTGCCCTGTATCCATGGATTTACCCTACTGCAGATGGAAAATATTTGAAAGTTTGCATGTGCCCTGAATTTCCCTAAACAACATAAAAACTAGCACAAAGAAAGGTGAATACAATTGATTACATGTGAACATTACATAATTTGCATAAAGGATTTGAATGAACTTTCTTGGATTTTTTGTGGGGGAAGGGCTGTTCTGGACTCAATCCCCCACAGATATTAAGGGATAACAGGGTGCTTTAACAGAATACCTAATGTGCCTAATGCTATACCTTTTATACTTAAAAATCGAATAATGTACTTGATGAACTGAAAAAGCAGCGTTACCTCCTCTAGTATCCTGGTACCCAGTTTATTCCCATATTACATATTCTAGTGTACATAATAGCACCATAAATATCTGGGCAAAATTTTCAAACAGCCACAAATAAAACAACTATAATGAATTTATCTAGTTTCTTACCCCAGCAATGTCTGTGATCACTTTTTCCATGACTTCCTTTCCACCTGTTAATCGAGTAGCACTTTGAAGAAATGTAATGGCTTTCCTTAAGTCTCCCTCTGATACTTTAACTAGATAAGCTATTCCCTGAAAAGAAAATAGGGGGGTTTTTTAATTTTTTTTTTTTTTTTTTTGTGTGTGTGTGTATGTGTGTAGTGGGGATTCAATCAAGAGGCTCTTCATCCCTGAGCTCCATCTCCAGCTCTTTTTCATTGTTTGAGATAGGGTCTTGCAAAGTTGCCCAGACTGGCTGGCTTTGAAGTTGAGATCCTCCTGCCTCAGCCTCCCTAGTTGGTGGGAATAAACTATGATGACCAGTTAGAGCCTTTTGATTTTAATGAAATCCATATTTATCCTATTTCCTGGATCACAGAAAATAAGCAAAGGAAATTCAAATTATGGTTGAGTTCTGAGTAAGGACCTTATCACTTGAAGTGTATTATTAGACTATTTGTTGCAGTATTTGTCTTGTATATGTGACCTCAATTTTGGGTGTCTGAAAGAAATTAGCTTAAATAATTTAACAGTAGTAAACCTTTAACTCCTAGACATTCCAACTGTTGCTCATCTAGCTTCAGTTTGCCTGAAAAATATAGTAGGGTCACAGTGATAAATTTCTTTCCAGACCTCTTCATGGACATTCATCAAAGGAATTACTTACCTCATTACTAATTTTGACATTTTCCTTCTCAGCAATGTCTAGTAATCGCTGATGTTGAGTTTTATCTGATAAAGGCTTGAAGCGGAATTTTGAACATCTAGAGGTCAAGGGTTCAATTATTCTACAAAAGAATGAGAGGGAAAAAAACCCCACTTATTAAGAACAAATCAAGATGGAATGTTAATACAGTCTTTAAATCAAAATAAAATTGCCTTACAAGTGGTATCAACAACTATATTTGAAGTGATATGCTGATTACTCTGATCCATTACATGTATATATGCAGAAAAATGTCACGTTAGCCCATAAATATGTTCACTTTCTACATGTCAATTAAAAAAATAGACTGGCCAGGCATGATGGTGCATGCCTGTAATCCCAGAGGCTGGGGGGGTGGGGGGGGCTGAGACAGGAGGATCACTGGTTCAAAGCCAGCCTAAGCAACCTCAAAACCTCGAGGCACTAAGCAACTCAGTGAGACCCTGTCTCTTGAGTGTCCCTGAGTTCAATCCCCAGTACCAAAATAAATAAGACTGCCTAGCATCTACAGGGAAACATACATACCTACTAATATAGTTACAGATGAGACAGAAACGTGTGGTTTTAGACTCTTTCTCCATAGTTCGTCTTAAAGCTGCCTGAGCAGCTGAGGTCATGGAATCAGCTTCATCCAAAATTACAATTTTAAAAGGAGGACATGGCTTCCCACTAAATTGGAGAAACACATAGGAATCAGATTTTAGCATGTATTGTTTTTAACAGCTTTGCTGATATATACATACAGTTCACCCAATTAAAGTATACAATGTTTTTTAGTATATGGTAGTCCCCAGTGGATGTCTGAAATTGGAGTATTAGTCCATACACACCATGTTTTTTTCCCCTATACTTACATAGCTATGGTGAAGTTTAATAGGCATAAGAGATCAGTAGTATTTAGCAACACATTTCTTTCCAGACCTCTTTATGGGTATTCATGAGGCCAGCCAATAAAATGAAATAATTTTATCAAATCATCAATATATATTTAGTGATTGCCAGCATCACTCTTTTTGTGTTTGGAGGGTATTACGTGTTACTTGAACACAAATTCCATGATATTGTGACAGTTCTGATAACCAAGATGGCGACTGAGTGACTAATAGGTGGAATGCACATACAGCGTGGACATGACATGCTGTATAAAGGAATGAATGATTCATGTACCAGGCAGGACAGAATTGAGATTTCATCACACACACTACTTGATGGCTTGTAGTTTGAAAATTGTTTATTTCTAGAATTTTCCGTGTAATATTTTCAGATCACAATTGACCACAGGTAACTCAAATTACAGAAAGTCAAAACAGTGTGCAGTGGGGGCATTACCATGTTCACGAATTGTACAACCATTACCACAGTCTAAATTTACAATATTTTTTACACCCAAAGAAATCTTGTATCCATTAGGAGTCACTCTTATCGTCCCCCAAATCTGCCAGCTCTAGGCAATCACTATTGTACTTTCTGAACTATTTATCCATTAATCATTTGGATATTTGGGTTTCCATGTTTTGGTTATTAGGAATAATGTTATGGATTTTATTCACATTTTTGAGCAGTCATGCATTTTCATTTTTTTTATGGGTTATGTACCTGGGGTAGAACTGCTGGGTCACATGATAATTCTGCTTAACTTTTAGAAGAACTGCCAAACTGTTTTCCAAGAGACTTTATTTTACATTCCATCTAGCAATGTATGAAGTTTATAATTTCTCCACATCTTTGTCAACAACTTATTCTCAATTTAGAATAATTTTAGCCAGGTAGTAGGTATAAAGTAGGATTTCATCATGGTTTTGATTTTTATTTGCTTAATGATGTTGAAGAGCATTGTTTTCACATTTTTAAAAAATATTTATTTACTTGCAGATGAAAACACAATATATTTATTTTTATGTGGTGCTGAGGCTCGAACCCAGTGCCTCACACATGCAAGGCAAGCACTTTACCACCGGGCCCCGGCCCCAGCCCCAGCCCCAGCCCCAGCCCCACCCCCTGTTTTCACATCTTAAAGGCCATTTGTATAGCTTTTTTTTTTAATTGAGAAATGTGTATTTGGATTCCTTTACCCATTTTTTAGTTGGGTTATTACTGTTATTTGGCATTGTGAACTGAACTAAGAGCTATATTCTGTTTTTTTAATCTTGTTTTGAGATGAAGTTCCTGCCAAGTTGCTTAGGCTGGCCTCAAACCAGTAATCTCCCTGCCTCATGATCCTGAGTTGTGCTGGGCTATTATTGAGTTTTAAGAATTCTTTATCTATATTAGTCACTTATTAGAGATAGATTGAAAGAAAAAAAAATTAGTCATTCACTTTCTACAAATTTTAAAGTGTTCTGATGTAAAATTTAACTCTGCCACCTAAGCTCTGTGTGCTTCAGGCATGACAGTCATATTTTAATTACCAATAGTGTTTTTTTTCACTCTAAAACTATCCCAGTTTCAAAGAAATTTTGTGGTAACTCAAGCTATGAAATATACACTAAACTAAAGAGTTTATCTGACAAGGGAGGTAACTTGTTTTCTAACATAATTATAAAAGTTAAAGAAGCTCAAAATTTGGCAGGACATTTATTGTCTTAGTCCATTTTGTGTTGCTACAAAAAAGCAAAACCCTGGGCAATTTATAAAGAAAATACATTTATTTCTGTCAGTTCTGGAGGCTAGGAAGCCCACAATTGAGGGACTGTATGTATCTGTTGAGGGCTGTCTTGTTATAACATGGCAGAAAGCATCAAATGGCAAGACAGAGGCTGCTTATGCGATCTCGCTTCCTCTTATAAAGCCACTGATGTCATCATGGGAGCCCTGCCCTCTCATCTATTCTCCTAATTATCTCCCAACATTTCACCTCCAAGTACCATTAACATTAGAATTTGAAGATTGTTTCAACATATAAACTTTTGTGTGGCATATGCAGACCACAGCCTACATTTAAAACAAATAAAATTACATGCCATGGAGAAGGGAAGGCAAGTTTACTTACTCTGAACGACTTCCTGACACAGTTAATTGAGCAAAATTTTTCACCTTCTCTCGAACTACTTGTATTCCACGTTCATCAGATGCATTTAACTCAAGAACTCTTAATCGAAACAGTTCAGGCCTATTTAAATATGAAACAAATATACAATAAATATGAAATATTAACACTGCAAATAAATATGAACATAAATATGTTCATAAATATGAACACTGTAGACCATTCAAGTAACCTAGGCCTATCACATTTTAACATTTGAACATTGAAATAGTTTAAAATCCACCTAGTATACAAAATACATAGAAGGTATGTGAGCAAGTCTGTGTTCTTTCTTTTGCAGAGTCATGTAGTTAACAAGTTAGCTTTATTCATGCATTAAAAAAAACGCTACATAAGAAAATATGTAAAATTTTAGTCCTCTTGATATAGTATAATAATTATTTTGCCATGATATAAGAACCAATGTAACCTGGGCGTGGTGGCACATGCAGCTTGGGAGGCTAAGGCAGAAGGATCAAGAGTTAATAAAGCCAGCCTCACCAAAAGTGAGGTGCTAAACAACTCAGTGAGACTCTGTTTCTAAATAAAATTCAAAATAGGGCTGGGGATATGGCTCAGTGGTCAAGTGCCCCAGAGTTTAATCCCCGGTACCGAGGAAAAAAAAAAAAAAGGAACCATTGTAAATGTTATTTAATGGTTATATAATAATTCCTTACTGGATTTACTTAACATACTTAACTGTTAGAATTCTTGATACTTGAGCACTTTTCAAATCATTTCCAGAGTGTAGCTTATTATAAGGAAAGTCACTGGATTAAAACATGAACAGGTTTTTTTTTTTTTCCTCTGTGTGTGTGTGTGTGTGTGTGTGTGTAGCTTGAGATCAAACCCAGGGCCTTGTACATGCTGGATAAGTGTTCTACCATTGAACTATATACACCCTCAGCCTTAACATGAACAGTTGCCCCCCACCCCAGTACTGGGGACTGAACTCAGGACCTGGTGCATGCTAGGCAAGTACTCTCCACTGAGCTACCTCCCTAGCTCTGGCATGAACAGTTAGATGAGTTTTTAAAAACATTACTAACAGTAGTATACGCTTACTATGGAGAAATCAAAAGAAAATAAAAATACCTGGCATGCCCCGTCAAACCACTGGTCTGAAACTACCCTCTAGTCTTTTCTCTACATATATTTTAAATTAAAAAAACAAAACAAAACAACAACAACAAAAACAAGACTGGCTAGAGGTATAGCTCAGTGGTAGAGTGTGTACTTAGCATGTATGAAGAACTGAGCTCAATCTTAAACACCACCCCTGCATCCCACAAGAGATTTAGTTTTGTTTTTATTTTTCCCAATTGAAGCACCAAGTAACACAGTGAGACCCTGTCTTTAAATAAAATACAAAATAGGGCTCGGGATGTGGCTCAGTGGTTGAATGTCCCTGAGTTCAATTCCCAGTATCAAAAAAAAAAAATCTGAGAAACAAAAGTTGCTGGTCTAAGCTGGGTGTGATGGGGCATCCTTGTATTCCAAGCTACTAGGGAAGCTGAGGCAGGAGGATCCCCAGTTTGAGGCCAGCCTGGGCAACTTAGCGAGACCCTACCTCAATATAAAAAAACACAAGAAAGTCTGGGCAGTGGTAGAGCATCCATGGGTTGAATCCTCAGTAATGAAAAAAGAAAGTTGTCATCTAATAAATCTAAGGCTATAGCAGCTTCTTCTTTTGTCTTCCCTTACACTGTGACACAATTATCCTTTCATGTTTGGTGTTTCAGAGGCAACTATTATTTTCATACGTAGGGTTTCTGATGTACCCCATGGCTATAGGCCTAATAAAAAATTCTGGGTAAATTCAAGACAGCCTTTGTTATGTTTGTGCATGTTTCACTATATTTAGATGCAGGCCACTATCAATACACATTTTGTATATGTATTACATAAGGTAAAAAATACGTGAGAACTGCGAGGGTCCGCTTTTTATTGAGATACTAATTTATTAGACAAATTGCTCAAAACTACAAGGCGTCTTAAATAGCTGATATCTGAGCTCATTGTTTCACAGCAAGAGGAAGTGGCTTTGAAATTATTACCGTAGTACAATATGTACTACAGTTAATTTTATGTAGTTAGAATTAATTACTGCATCTTGACATTTGTTTACATTTCTGACTTTGAATAGCATTATATACAAATTGTGTCTGTACAGATAAGTTTTGACACATTTTTAAATTTAGATTTGTGTATATTTTATGGTAGTAATGACAAAATAGACTGTTATTGACATTTTATGCATTTATGACATGCCCTTTTCTTAAATTTTTCAATATTTACAGATTACATGATTCTTCAAGTTTTTCCAAATTTTTGCAAATCTTCAAAAAAAGATACATATAATTATACCTATACAGTTCAAATCCAAGTGGTTGAAGGGCCAACTGTCCATCTATTAACTCCTCTAGAAGAGTTGACTATACCAGTCAGTCAAACAAGGAAGAGGAATCGAAGAAGAAATGTCACAGGGAGACTTTTCTGGTGTACCTGGAATTAAACTCCATCAACTACCACTTACTCTGCTTACACTCAGGAGGCTTGAGGGCAGAAGCTCGCCTGGCTGGCCACTCAAGGCAGGCAGGGACTAAGAAATCCAGATCAGGGGCAACTCAAGAGGGGTGATGCAGAAAATAATAGCAGTTTCTATCTCAAAGATACAGATGAAACATTACAAGGGTGCTTGTAATTAATGACCAGGGACAGGGTGGTCCTCTGGGCTCCAAAATCATAACAAAAAAGTTATAGAAAATAATTTAAAGAAAAAAAATCACAAGCTCCCTATGTTATAGTACATTCAAATATTTGAACAAAGTTCAGAATGCAGGTTACAAAAGATGTAGGTAGCTAATTTACTGGGGAGGAGGGGATGAATTGGGATTAATAAAAGTTCAGAAATAAAAATAAACCCAAGAACCTCACAGAAACTAAATGAAAATTTTTAGAGAAAAGTAGTACCAAAGATTTTTGGTGTCAAATCTTTAAAAAGGTGAGAGAGTGTTTGATTAAATTCAGCTTACCCAAAGAGTTCTCTAGCAGCTGCCAAAATGGTGGATGTCTTCCCAGTTCCAGGTGGCCCATAAAATAAGAGATTAGGTAGCTGTGGAAATTAAATTTTAACTTTTATCAATTGTATTCGGCACAAATAGATGAAATGATGACTGCAAATGTCTGTGGAACAGTTTAGTGATCTCCCTAGTAGAGAAGATACATGTGTGTAGCTATTAAGATTCCTTAATCTAACTGGTATCATAGTACTAACAGTTCTAAATACTGCTTTTTAATATACTATCACTTTTTTCCCCAAAGTATCTTTCTAATCTCTTAAATTGAACCAATATCTATGTTTCTTGTATTTATGACCTACTTATGTCTGAAGGGAATCTCAGGCTTTTGATTTCTTTGTTCAAGATTGGGTGAGACTTTATATAAAGATGTAGCTGTTTCAAAGGGGAAAGAGATCAAAAGGGTAATGGGATTTGGCCAACACTGAGGAAAAAGGACTGAAAAAGGCATACAAGAGCTTTGAATGAGAACAAAAATATTTAAACAACAACAAAAAAACCCCAAACATCTATAAAGCCCTAGACACTACACCACATCATGACTGTGTACCCTGTAGGGATGCCCACAAGAAAGGGAGAATTCATTAGAAGAAAGGATAAAATGAAATGACTAGCGATCTTCTTTTATACCTTTAATCTAGCTAGTTTGGCTCCTATCAACTAGGCAATTGATCTGTGGTAAAGATTAATAAATGTATTACATTTTAATGAGCTCCATTCTAAAACCATGCATTCTTTTTTGGGGTACCAGAGATTGAAACCAGGATCAATAAATCACTGAGCCACATTCCCAGCCCTTTTTTATGTCAGAGTCTCGCTAAATCCTTAGGATCTCATTAAGTTACTGGGGTTGGACTTCAATTTGCAATCCTCCTGCTTCAGCCCTGAAAGTTGCTGGAATTACAGGCATGAGTCACAGTGCCCAGCTGAAACTACATTCTTCAGTAAGTCCTCTAAGGTAAGGAAATCATTACATACAGGACACTAGGAAGTAGTTTATTTGCTTTCATTTTTGCCTGACCACCCTGTCCATTAATTCTTCACCAAATCAAATATCACTGTGCTTGTTATTTAAACCTTATCACTGGCTTCACACTCTACTTAGGAAGAAACCACAAAGGGCTCGGGATATGGCTCAGAGGTTAAATGCTTGCCTAGCATGTGAAAGGCCCTGGGTTCAATCCTCAGCACAGCCCGCCTCACTTCCCTGGCAAAAAAGGGAAAAAAACAGACAAAAATCCACAAGCTGCTTACCATGACCTGTAAGGACTTCTATGACTTGCCCATCACCCTCACCTTCCAGGCTCCAGCTTTAATGGCTTCCAATAGCTAAGTATTTTCAGGCCCAGCAATATATTGTTCCCATGACCTAGAATCTGACATTACTCTTTTTTACCTGGCAAACTCCTAATGCATTACAAGTTGGACATCTTCCCTCACCATCCAATCTAAAGTGGGTCTCCTCTCTTATTTGCTCACTTGTTTTTGTTGCATTTATTTCAGTTTACATTTATTTATGGTTATTTAATTGATGGTTTTAATTGTAAAATACCTAACTCCCTAGATGGTTTACTCAAAAAGACCAAGAATCTTATTTGTCCCAGTCACTTCTGTATCCTTAGCATCTACTATAGTATTCAGTACAGTGAATACTACTACAGTGTTTACCAAATAAATCAAAAACCAACATACAGGTAAATATACTAATTAAAAGACTACTGATTGGGGGCTGCGGTTGTGGCTCAGTGGTAGGCCACTTGCCTAGCCTATGTGAGGCACTGGGTTCTATTCTCAGTGCCACATATAAATAATGAATAAAATAAAGGTCCATCAACAATTAAAAGAAGGATTAAAAATAAGACTATTAATTGGTAACATATACCTTAAGATACAAACTATGAGGCTCTATTTAAAAGATTAAAAAAAACATTAAAAATATTCCTAGATTCCTTAGTTTTTAAGGTTATACCTGTTATTTTGATTGATGCATACCTCAACATTTGTAATGATTCATCCAAGTAATTAACTTATAACATACAATAATTTAAATTCTTTAAAACAGTAGAATTATCAAACCTTATATAATAGTCTGATATAAGTGGTACATTTAAGAACTGTGGAATATCACATCTTAAAACTGATTTTTTTTTTTTTGGGTGGGAACCAGGGATTGAACCCAGGGATGCTTAACCACTGAGCCACATCCCCACATCCCCTGCATTTTTAATTTTTTATTGTGAGACAGTTGCTTAGGGCCTTGCTAAGTTGCTGAAGCTAGCTTTGAACTTGCCATCTTCCTGCCTGAGCCTCTTGAGCTGTTAGGATTACAAGTGTGTGCTACTATGCCTGGCATAAAACTGATTTTGGAAAAAAAAAATTATTATAATTCTACCTTTGAAAGTAAATGAAGAAAGTATTTTTCTTTACTATTTAGAAGTTGAAAAATTATTTTTTGTTTTGTTTTGTAAAATTTGGTTTGAAAAGAAGCATTTTGGGTTTTTTTGTGGTACTGAGGATTTAATCCAGGGCCTTGTACTGTTCATGCTAGGCAAGTATTCTACCACTGAGTTATATCCCCAGTCCACAAAATATTAAAAAAGGGGTCACAAAACAAAGACCTTTATTCAATCTCAAGTCAAAAATTAAATCATAATCCTATAACATTTATTTAAAGAGCTGAAAATACTAGTAATTAAATTGGACCTATCTTGTGATGCAATTAAAATTGTACCACTGTGAAATTGTGAACCAAAACAAACACAATTAAAGAAAAGCTTTTAAATAGTTTTGTAACTGTAACTTCTTTCCAAAGGTGTACTGTAATACAGATTGAATGTCCATAATCTAAATTTCAGGCTCCAAAATCCAATCATTTTGAGTGTCAACATGATGCTACAAGTGTTTAGTTACCCTAAATACGTTATTTTTTTTCACTATCAGTGGAATGTCAATTTTTTTAAACTGTTAAGTGTGATGTATGAATAAATGTAGAAAATGATTGCTTATCAGCAGTATCTAAATTCAGAGTCAGGAATGACAGTGAAACCAAACAACCACACACTGTCTATGTGGGTGGATGATATGGTAACACTGCTGTTTCCTGATGGTTCAATGCACACAAACTTTGTTTCATACATGATAATTATTAAAGGTATTACATAAAATTACTTTTAGGGTTATGTGTATATGAAACATAAATAAATTTTGTATTTAGACTTGGATTCTATCCCTAAGATATTTCATTAGGTTTAAGACAAATATTCCAAAATTTGAAAAAAATTCAAAATCTAAAACATTTCTGGTTCCAAACATCTTGGATAAGGTATATTCAACCCACAGGGTAATTATAAGAGAACTATGGAAGCAAAAACCAAAGAACTTCATATTAAAAGCAGCCAGGTTTAAGGAAGTATATCTTGATTAACAAAACAAGCAATCCAACCATATCCTACTTTCATCTGTGACTTTCTTCATTGAGTTCTTAAAGTACTTGGGCACATCTTTATATACAATCTGAAATTTCTAATTCTTTACATGGGTTTATTTTGTCTCTGAATAATCTAAATGACAGGTTACTCGAGGATTATTTTATCTTATACATTACAGCTGGAGACAGAGAGCTTAAGCAGAATTAAATGCTCAATGATTTTATTTTTAATTTTTTGAACTGGGGATTAAACCTGTGGCACTCTATCACTGAACTAAGTCCCCAAATCTTTTTTATTTTTTGTTTTGAGGCAGGGTCTTGCTACAAGGCTTTGAACTTGCAATTCTCTTACCTCAGCCTCCCAAGTAGTTAGGATTACAGGCATGCAGCTTTAATGATTTTCTTATGCTGTAGTTCAAGCCAAATCGTAAAGTTTGAAAAGTGTGGCTCTTTATAACACATAACATTATCTATCAATTTCTTATTTATTTGGCTTGTTTATTGTCTCTTCTCACCAAAATAAAAGCTCATGAAAAAAGAAGCCCAGTCTGTTTTGTTCATGGTCTTTACTTACTTGAATACTCTGTAGCAATGCTACATATGACTGAACAGAAGATACTGTTATGGTTTATATCTTAAATCACTCCCAAAGATAGTATACTGGAGGCTTGGTTGCCAGCCTGGGGCACTACTGGGAGGCAGTGGAATCTTTAGGAGGTGGAGCCTAGTGGAAGGAAGTTAGGTCACTGGGAGCATACCTTGAAGGGAACATAGGGATCCCAGCCCCTTCTCTTGTAGCTTTCTGGCCACCATGAGGTGAGCAGCCTCCTCAGCCATGTACTTCCACCATGACATACTGTGCAGCCACAGGCCCAGAGCAATGTGGTCAAGCAACCACTGAAATCTCTAAAACTGTGAGCCAAACTAATCCATTCCTCCTGTAAATTGTTTATTTTAGGTATTTTTAACACAGCAATGGAAAGCTGCCTTATACAGATGCTTAATAAGCATTTGTTGAACTAACTGTTTGTACAGTTATCAAGGCATTGCTATACAGACTGGTATCTAATGAAGGCAAAAGGTTATAAACAAAGGAAGAGGGTGAATAAATTAATTCTTAAATTTCCCAATGACATTGAGCATCATCTGGTACTCACATCAGCTCCTTCTAAAGATTTTTTCAACACTGCAACTACTTCTTCTTGGAAAGCAACTTCATCTACACATTTTGGGCGACTGAGGGGATGGAAGGAAAAAAAGTTATTTAGCATTGGTAGCCACAGAAAAGACTCAAGTGTTTCTTCTTTTAAAATACCAGTAATAATTCTCACATATTGGGAATGAATTGGAAGAAGGTAGAAACCTCATTTGTATTTACCTTAAGTAATATATACTACAGAAGTAAAATAATTTTTTATCTCCCATCTGCACTGCTTGCAACAAGAATTAAGCAATGGGATTTTATTTTATATGCCACAAATGCCAACTGGATAAAAATTAAACGCTTGCCTAGAAAGTGTTATATTTTGACAAGATAAGATTATGAAGCTGATCTGAAAAGGGAGAACTATTTAATAATCTAAAGAAAGATAACTATGTTGGTTACATATATATACTTTAAAATGTGAATTGGCTAATGCCATTTTTTTCTTATTATCTAACTGTACCAAAAGGGCTAACAAAAACCAAGTTTAACCAATGTGAAGTATAAATTTCATCCTAAGTCATTAATTAGTGTTCTTAAGAAAAGCTAGAACAAAGTTATATATTCCCATCCCTGAGTAGACTTTGTGTTTAGTTAAGTAATCAAGTTTTTGATCCACATTTTCCTAATGAATAAGATTAATGCTAGGCAGGAATCATACCTCTATATATTACAAACCAGTGTCTCATGTTCAAATACTGCAAGTATTAGGCAGACAATGAGAGTGAAGAAAGCAGATGTACAGCAAGAAACAAGATAATAAGGACTATGGCAAATTAAGGAACACATGACCTTCCCAAAATGAGAAGCAATACACAAGTCCATTTAATTGTCATTGAGATCTTGCAGCCAATGCTGCCTGATCTCCTGAGAAGCTGAAAATATAGATTTTTCCCACTAATAATTTTTTAAATAATAAAAAAAAAAAATCTAGATTTTTGGGCTGAGTGTGTAGCTTAGTGGTAGAGTGCTTGCCTAGCATGTGGCATGCTGGGTTCATTCCTCAGTATTGACAATTAAAAAAAAAAAATCTTAAAAATCTAGATTTTTATAAGGAATACTGGTACCAAACAAAACATATGAGTACCTTACTTGGCCAATAAATAATTTGCAAACCCTTAATAACTGAGGCTATATCAATCCATTCAATGGTTACAATGACTTCTTATAATATCATTTACTGATGAAAATTAAAATGCCATTTCAAGGGTTGTGATGCCAAAAATGTATAAACAAAATTAGACAATTTCCACCTACTAGTAATAAAAAAGGAACATTTGGGTTATTTGGATTTAAGTAGAATTCCTGACAGCCAGTTTGCAAAAACTGTTTTCTTCATTTCTGTATCCCAGCCCCCCAAACTACAAACTTTAGCTATCAAGATTTACCAAATAAGGGAATTAAACTAGGTCACTGTAAGGTATCTTTCAATACCAAGTTTCTGTGATTTATATAATTGGGTGATTTTCAAGAACAGCATCTAAACAAAATGAACTAATTTCCCCTCACATTTTAAAAAAAGAAATCAGAACAGATTACAGCAGTAATTTATTAGCTATTTCCACAAAAATATAAGCGTTCTTACTATTTTTCCACCCATGGAACATGTTTGACTTTCTTGTTCTCACCACTGCTCCCTGCAGTGGCAGCTACTCCTCGATCCTTGGTTAATGGTGGTTTAGTACTGATAGATGTGCCTTTTAGAAATGCCTGCATGGTTACTTCACCCTGATGAAGTGCAAGACAATAAATAAATAAATAAATAAATAAATAAATAAATAAAATAAGGCTTTCTTGAAATCATTAAGAGAAAGTTTAGCCTGAAAGCACAATTACCTTGTGCAAAGGCATTCATAAATACTTATTGTAAGAACATCACCCCATGCCCCAGGATGCTCTGAATGCTTTGTACTGAAGGTTACAAGGGACACAAAAGAGGCCAAAGTTCTTAAGGAACTTAGAATGTATTTATAATGAAAAAGTTACAAAACAAATATAAATTGCGTATCAGAAAAAATTTTAAGAATTCCAAATGCATTGATAAATATGACACCACTAATAGGCAAATTGTATATGGACTTCTACAGTTTCTTCCATTTCAGTTATGGGTGAGATCTAGCTACACCCTGAAATGGACTCTGCAATTAGAAGTGCTGGGACCACAAATGATAACCTTCACTGCTACTTCAGCCGAGCTCCACTCAATGATCTATTTCATTGGCAAAGCCGGTGTCCAATTAAAGAAGCCCCCCTCCCACCCTCAATGGAGTAGGAAGAGTGGGGGACTCTTGTTAAAATGAAAATAGTTGTTTCTCTGTTAACATGTTCAATTGAAGAACCCAATACAGAAAAGCATGAGAAATCTAAAAAATTCAAATGAAGTCCCTTATACAGAAGATAGCTACTAACATTTGGGTAAATATTCTGCCAGGGTGTTTTCAGGGGGGAAAAAACCAAACAAAACACATCATTAGCCTGCCTGAAAATCCTTAGCATTAGTGGCAACTCTTTTTTTTTTTTTCCCCACTGCTGTATGCCCTCCGTGTTTAGAACCGTGCCTGGCACATGACAGATGCTCCATAACATTTGATGAATTAATTACCACCCACAAGACGGGATTTTCCCTTCTGCAAAAGGAGCTAAGGCCTATCCCATAAGACAGCTGAGTTAAGAAAGAAAACTGCGAACTCTCAGCTCTGCATGGCACTGACTATACATTCAATAAAATAAATTATTAATATCTGTAAGCGGCCAAGGGTCTTAACGTCTTTAGACTATTTCATCCCTGCTACAGGCTGCTAAAAATAATACGGCCCAAAGCTGGGCTCTAAGAGACGCTTACACCGAAACCCCGTCTCGCTAAGGGATGCGGGCGTGGGTGGGTATGCGAGATGGAAGACCTCACAGGGGCATTACGGGACCGGCAGGGAAGGCAAGCTCCACATTTCACCCGCTGGTCACCTGCAAACCCTGTTTCCCGCGCGGGAACCGCAGAGCCTGGGTCTTTCAGCCTCTCGTCACCGAAGCGAGTGGACTGCCGGCTCGTTCTGGGGTCTTCCGGAATGAGAAAAGGACGAGGTGGTGGCAAAGTCTCAGCTCTGTTCCTAATTCAGACAATAACGGGACCCGAAGACTTGCAGTAGGTGCAGTCTCTACAGTAGCCTCGGTTCCCGCCACGGAACGGCCGCGAAGGGCAGGGCGGGAGTATGCGCGCAGGACACGCGTCACTTCCGGCGGGACTCGCGCCGCGCGATGAGAACCCTTTGCGGATTGACACTTTAAGGCGCATCTTTAAGGCGACAGACGTTTCTAGAGGCATAGACTGGAACGGGCATAACTAAGGAGATGCGAATGAAATTTCACCCTGTCCTTTGCACCCACTCGAGACCGCCGGGTAAGGACACTTTAGTGCGACTGTCTCCAAATTAGTGGGTCCCGCGGACACGACGCTCTGGCGGGAAAGCGGCGCGCGGGCCGAGGGCCTGTAAACTTCATTTGTAGTCGTGGGGCATCTTGCCGGCGTTTCTGCGACGACACAGTTCGACTTGCAGCCTACTTTATCCCAAAGGACTGGGGTTGGGGAGCGTGGAGTCGATCTTTCGGCAGAAGAGGACACACTGTGGATCTTGTGCTTCGGTCCTTCTTGGTCACAGAACAAACCATTTGCCTTAAGGGCAGAGACATTTGAAGAAGGTGCGTATTGAAGGTACGTATTGAAGGTGGAGAGGAAGAGGATCCTCGAATGAGGGGTCCTCCACATTCCATGTCCATGCAGCCGTGGGCATCTAATTCCTGAACCCTGATCAGAAGTCTAGTAGCACACGTTTAATGAAAGCTAAACAATTGATAATAATGTCAGCTCCTCCAGGGTTCGTGCACTGTGGGCTCCAGGCAGGTATTTGAGATAAACCACCTTTATCTTTTCCAAATACTGGGTTTAGCCCTGAATTGTACATTAATCTTATTGAAATCTGATCCTTCTCAATGCTGCTGCCTCCACAGACCTTTGCTAATTAAAACTGTAAGGTTTGACGGGCACGATGGCTCAGGCCTGTAATCCCAGCCGCTCTGGAGGCTGAGTCAAGAGTTTCGAGAGTTCAAAGTCAGCCTCAGCAATGGAGAGGCGTTAAGCAACTCAGGGAAACCCTGTCTCTAAATAAAATATAAAATAGGGCTGGGGATGTGGCTCAGTCGTTGAGTGCCCCTGAGTTCAATCCCCAGTGCCCAAAAAAAAAAAAAAAAAGAAACAAAACAAAAACTATAAAGTTGACAAGGGTCTTCTGTAAGTGAACATGGAAAACCCAAACGCTGTGATAGGTGCTGACAATACAACAGGGAACAAGCTGGAAGATGCCTGCAAGTGGCTTTATGGACTAAAGTATTAGACAATGCGATGAGTTATGCAGAGGACCTAGTGAGGGAGGGTGAAAGGGAGAACATGCAACCCAGGCCCTAATCTAATCAAAGGGTTAACCAGATTTAACTAAGGGTATTTTATGCTACTTTGTATCTTCCACAGGTCCTATTACAATCCCTGGATAGTATAAAGCACACAGGTGCTTTATCTGGTCATTGCTTTACATTATTCTGATTAAACTGTACACTTAATGTTTAGACATTTTATTGCATGTAAATTAGACCTCAATAAAGTTGATAAGACAGATCTGTGAAAATAATGTGTGTCCATTCACTACTTGAACAAACACCATGACTGCGAAGAGGAAGTATTGTAATCCCATTTTACAGATAAGGAAGCAGTAGTCTTGTCCATTTGAACTGTTATAACAAAATAGACTAGGTGACTTATAAACAATAAACATCTAATTCTAGAGACTGGGGAGTCCCGAGGTCAAGGCATGAAGATTCAGTGTTGGGTCAAGGCTTGCTTCCTCATAAACACCCAGTCTTCTCACTTTAACCTCACATGGTGGAATTAACTCCTTCTGGCCTCCTTTAAAGGGCACTACTTCTTGTCAGGCAAGATGGCACATACTTATAACCTAATTTGTAATTCCAGCAGCTCTAGAGGCTGAGGCAGGAGGATCCCGAGTTGAAAGCCAGCCTGAGCAACTTAGTAAGGCCCTAAGCAACTCAGGGAGACCCTGTCACCAAATAAAATACAAAAAAAGGACTGGGGATAAGGCTCAGTGATTAAGTACCTCTGGGTTCACTCCCTGGTATCCCCCCCCCACACACACACACACCAAAAGACTAATCCATTCATGAGGTCTTCACCCTCATGACCTAATCACCTCCCTAAGCTCCCATGTCTTAAATCATTATCTTTGGAGGTATTATTTCAACATATAGACTTAGGGGTAACAAACATTCAAAGCACATCAAAGGTTAATAGCAAATAGGTGGCAAACATAGAATCCACATGTAGGACTGCCTGCCTGACTATAGAGTTGGGGCTTGTAATCAGTCACTGGGCAGGTCCAGAGTTGGCAGAAGGGTGACTTTATGTTAAGTAGGAAAAAAAATGCTAAATGATTTTTTGGGGAACGATAGCCAGTCTCTTTGCAGGGTTATTTCTGCCCAGGGAAATCCAAGCCACCCTAAAACTAACAATCTCAGATAATTAATTAGCAACAAACACACAGAAATATATTTATTTAATGTAAAGACCCTGAGAGATCTAGTCCCCATGGGTTCTGGAACAAGACAAAGGGAAAATGGCTCGGGTAGTTTATTTAAGGGGTACATCAAAGACCAGGATAAGGTTTCAAGGGCTGAGTCTTTGTTGGGGATATCTTGCAGTCAGCAGGTGGATTGACATCTTGGCAGGTCACACCCATCTCAGGTGCTGTGTGGGCCACAGCAGAGTGGGATAGAGATTCACATTGTCCCTGGGCAATTGACCAGAGGAAATGTCCACTGGTTATTCCCAGACACCAGATGTCTCTTTCTACAAGGCTTCCATGTGCGGTGACCCACATGCAACCCATGAATGGCTTGTGACAAAATGATAACTTGTTTCAGCAATTTGTTTAGAAAAGGTGCCACCATCCTCCAGGCACATTCAGCTTTTGATGGGGTGAACTTAGTAAATAAGAGATTGGGCTAGATTTCAATCTCTACTTGCTTCTTCAGGTGACCATTCTATTCTTGTACACAACTATAGGCAGTATCCTAGTCTAGGGAGTTCATAAATTTATGTGCACACAAAGCATTGTCATTAGAACAAGAGTTACCTATATAAATATACATCTTTTGTATTAATACATTCACAGGTGCTTAAAACAGTCCATAGTTTATAATAGCTTTTATTATTTGTTTTTAATAGATATTCATTCAGTTACTATTATTGCATTACTATTAAGCGGAAATTTGTGAAGTTTTTTAATGTAAAAGAGGGTTTTGAGTATGTTGCCCTTTGGAACAGACAAGACAGAACCCATACCTGGATTAAGTTTTATGGGGTCACTAGAAAAGGAAAGGGAAGCACTAAGGTGGTAAATGAAAAAAAAAAAAGTTTTTTGGGAGTGGGAAGAATTAACTCGCGGATGACAATACTACCATTTTAAAACCAGGGAGTACAGATGCAGTGGATGCTCTGGTGTGTCTCCTTTCAGGACTGAGATACTACCTAAGTTGCTGGGAGTATGACAACTGACAGTTCTTAGCTGAATCATTCTCCAGCAACTATCCTCAGCCAAACTAAGCCACTTTATCTGAGTTGCCAATCTTCCCTGAGGGCAAACCACCTCCTAGGACTAGTTAGAGGGGTAGAAGAGCTTAGCTCCTTTTTCTTAAGGCAGCACTCTTTATACAAGTTATTTTAACCCACATCACCAAACAGTTTCTTCTGCCTACTTCTGCTTCCTTCAGCCCTCTCATGTTTTATTTTTGAGAGTATCAGGAGATAAAAAATTATGCATGCAAATATCAATATCTGTTTCCTAAGGGATTTAATCCAGAAGCAGTTCTAGAAAAAGGCTCTGTAGTTGCTTAGCATGTGTAAGGTCCTGAGTTTGATCCACAGCGTGCGCACACACCTGCAAACAAATACACAGGGTTTAAACTGGAATTTTGAAGCCAGATTACCTGCCAGCTGCTGGTATGTGAACTTTAGAACCCCATCACTGGTGGTTGTGGAGCACTGACAGCTCCTGGCATGCTGTGGAAATTGTTCAAACTTTCATCAGTGGCAAAGTGAATTGTGCTGTGCGAGGGTTTGCAGCAGATGGAGGATCTCAGGGATTTGGGGAAATAGTAATTGTAACAGCTTTGGAATGTGATAGTCATTTGGGAAGGGAGTGATTAATTCATTAAAGATAATGAAAGACTGGGGGTGATTAATTGCCAATATAAGATCAAACATGAAAGCCAGAGAGGTCCTATTTAGTAGCATATAAAATGATTCACATATCCTGCAGCCAGAAGGTAAAGAAATCTGAGCCAAATTGTGTTTGGAAACACAATTATGAGTGACAGCGCCCCAGAGAAGGTTAAATTCTCAATCCCAGCAAATCTGGTACACCAAGGTCAAGACCTGTTTGAGAAAAAAAACTAGGATACTGAGACTTGAAAGGAGGCTATTTGGATTGATGGACTTGACAATCTCAAATGTCCAGATTCTCCTGACTTCTGTAGATCTATAGAAGCAGCCCATCAACCATGTTACATACAGGCTGGTGCTCCTCTTTTTGGGATGTGTGTGGACATTTGATGATAAGGAGGCTTTCACCTTGTACAACACACATTTCCCCTTGCTTCCCATTGGTTTACCTTCTTCTCCATTCTTCCACCACTGAAGGGGAGGGAATTATCCACAGTGTGAATAGCTGGAGGTAGGGTCATGGGGACAACCTTAGAGTCTAGAGTCAGCCTGCCACAGAATGCATGGAAGATTCTTCATGAGCATCTGACAGAGGAGGAAAATGCTAAACTTGATTCATGAATGATCCAGTTGGTATGTGGGTGCAAGGCAAAAATGGGCAGCTGCTATACTACAGCCTAACTCAGGACAGCACTGAGGGAATATCCTCTTAATGGCAGAGCATCAGGCAGAAGTGATGGCAGATAGAGACTCATAGGAGGTGGTTGAGTAGCTTGGCCTGTTCATCAGGGATGTGATAGGGAAAGGATGGGAAGAATGGCAGTGAAGGTGTTTGGAGAAGAGGTGTGTGGACCAAGGCAGTGAGAATGAGGTCTGAACATCTTTATAATTGCATTAATGCCCAGTAGAGAGCATTCCTGG